GCCACGTCGATAGCCGCGTTCTCAGAGATGGTGCATACGAAATTTGTCGTCATCAGCACGGAAGTTGTCCGGACATCAGTCTTCATCGAAAAGAGAATGGGCCCGTTCACACCCCATGGCACGTTTCTGGCTCACCCGTCCTTTGTGGTCTACCTCGACAATGTCGTCGATCCGACTTTCGTGCCGGTCCTCCGGTCCCTATTTGTTTCGGCTTATGTCCGATGCGCACAAATTTCTTCTTCTCATCCGTCATAAAGAAAAGGTCGTCAAGCCCGTGGCAGTTCGAAATGGCGGTACACACCACGCGGTCACCAGGGTGCTTCGGAAACGGTGACAACAGGCTGTAGACGAAGCTGCCGGCGGGGTAGCCGTGGTTGTGAAACCCTTCGACGTCAGAGCCGTTACTGTATGGAGCATCTGTGGTGCGCACCGTACCGTCACACAAGCTCACAACAGCCTCACTGGGCGCGTTGAACCGAAGGCCGGGGAGCATGTCCACTAGAACAGGCATTGTGTGCCTTCATCTCGGACAAATCACTCTTGTTTATTGCTCCAGGCAGAGCCAGCAATGCTGAAATGTGGCGATGACTCTGTTTGTAGGTGAGAATGACGCAACTCCCCCTCTTCCTCATCCTTCAAGTACCGCCTGTTCTGTAAGTTGTGCACATTACACTTGTTGTACAAGCTGTATGAGCGGCGGAGCGTAGACTCTTTCGTGGCGGTTTCTAAGATGTACTCTTTGTTATCCTTGGAATGCCTGAACGGCAGTTTGCCCTCGTGTAGAAGTCAACACTGCCCCTTGAACTACGAGTCACCCGTTCAACGCTTCGCAACTGCAAGGCTTTCCTATGTTCGATTCAGGCCCTTGTGAAGCACTGCCATTGATACGTTCTCTTTTCCCTGTGCATATATTGGTACTTACTTGTCGTCTCTGTGTGATGCCTTCTCCTACACGCTTCTGTCGTTACATCTGCTTCTTCCTGACTCTCAAAAGAAGCAGACTAGACAGCGAATGCATGCATGCCTAGATGTATGTGCGCATGTATGTATGACGACGAGCGCACTCAATCCCTTTTTGAGCACAGCAAATGCCTCTCCATTCAGAGAGATTCCAGCTCACCGGGCACAGTGCTGCAGCGCAACGGTGGCAGCAGCAGTGGGCCCCGTGCAAGGCGACAGGCATGGCAGAGGAAGATGCCCTCAGCGGGGTCGCGCTGCACAGGGCAGACGCAGTCCTGGTGGAACAGTAGCAGACACCCCGCACACTCCAGCACCGCATCCGCCTCACGGAGGCGAGGAATGCATGGAACATCATCTAGCAGCTCCGTCACCTCCCTTGACTCCTTTACAGATATCGCCGTTTGATGTTTTCCCCCTCGTCCGCTCTCTCCCTCTCTGTGTTCATCCCTGAGCAGAGAAAGCATTGCAGCCTCGCCTTCCGCGCCGCCAATCAGTGCCGCGCGGCACGCGTCAAGTGGGTAGTCACAACGCACCTCTGTGAGCAGCTCCCGCAGTGTGGGCGAAGAGGTCAGAGGTGCCGAAGTGGATGCACGACCATTTTTATTCCCTGGGGTTGTCGCGTTAGCCAACGCTGTCGTGTTGCTGGCATGGCCTGTAGTCTCTGCCTCCGCCAGCTCACGCGCCTTCCGGTCCAGCCGCCTCGAGATGCACCGCAGGAGATCGTCGCAGAACGAGACGCCGTCAGTTGGAGATGTATCAAGAGATATCCGCTTCATATCGTCCCACAAACGCATCGCCGCGCCATCGTCCGTCATGTCTTCTCCGCGCGCCAGAGCCGAGAGACGCAGTGTGGGTCTTTCCCGCACCAACTCGTCACAGACGGTGCAGCATGCGTCTCGCTGTGCGGCCTTCACAACACTGGTACAGAACGAAAGCAGGGCCTTGTCTGCAAGCGCCCCATGCCCCCCCTGGGCGATTGTCTGCAGCCAGAGGCCCACTACCAACAGCCGTGTCCACAGCAGCTGTGACGTGACCAACTGAAGGGGTCCCGGCAGAAGTGACTGCAATCGTGCCCGCGCGGGATGCAGGAAGTGAGCGGGTGAGCGCAACGATGCAGTACGGCTACCAAGCGCATTGTGGCAGGCAAGAAGGTACGCCGCATCAGGCCGGCCTGCAGACGCATACAGCAGTGCGGCACCATCGGCTGTGGCGTTCGCCTCCTCCATACATGCCAGCGGAGAGTACAGCAGCGGGCTTCGCAGGCACTGCTGGAGTCGGTCGTAGAACACTGCGACACACGCACTCTCAACACTGTCCGCAAAGGCAGTTAAATTCATGGAAAATGCAAAGTATTGCAGCGGCACTACTGTGCCAGATGACGATGATGACGCGGTTGGAATTGCAAGGAGCCCATCATCCATGCCGTCGTCCTCATCGTCATGGTTTTCGCCGTCCTCTGTCGCGGGCAAGGCAGCGCTGCTGCTTTCGTCACCAGCGAGTCCGCTGTTCCTGGTATGCCGACGACCAGACGGCACTGCTGTCCGAAATGTTGTGGATTCTTCCATCTGTTCGATTAGTTTGCCCCCACCAACTTCCTTCTCATACGCGGCAACGACCGCGTAGAGTTTCTTTGTGTTGGGTGTATTCAGCTGAAAGTACGACCATGCCAACTGTCTCGCTAGATCCGGATCTAGTTTGGCCTCATTCGAGTTCTCCTCCTCACGTGGATGTTTCCTCGCACCGCGGTGTGCCGTTATTGATCCTGTTGAAATCCGACTGGTGTTGCGGTTGCCACCGCCACCATCAACGACACCACCCTTCGCTGGAGACACCATTGCATCCTCCGCGTTCGACGCCGGTTGAAGGTAGGCCGTTCGGGCGATGAATTGCTCCACGTCCTTTAGGCGCACCGTCATGGGTAGAGGGGCGCCGAAGCGCAATTCCGGCGATCGTGGCCGCAGTGCACGGCTCCAGTTCGTCACCACTGCCCAGAGTGATGGTTGGCACGATGAGACGGCAGCGAGCACGCAGTACGCCGCATCTTCGGTTTGGTCCACCGCGAGCTTCTCCCCTTTGGCACGGCAAAGACGGTACAGGAGCATTGCACGCTGCCGCAGCACCTTGGACACCGTGCCAATTAGACCTTGCTGCTGCTGTTGTTCCTGATGCGGCGGCGGCGGCGGCTTCTGATGGAGACGCTTTTCACCACTGCAAAGGAGCTGCTGAATAATCGCAACGCACCGGCTCTGCACAACATCATCTTCCATTCGCCTTTCCCACAGCTCTTTCCTATTTCCCTTCGTTGCGGCATTGCCAGAGGAAGTGGAGAAGCAGGCGTAGAAGGAGAAGGAGCGGCAGCAACAGCTCAAGTGAAAGAAATGTGAAAATGAATTGTTCCTCACATCACGCCCACGTCACATCATCTGCTGGTTAGTGAAGGGTCCACCAAATTTGGAGCTTGAAGGTGGCGGTCCACACAGCGCGGGGAAGCACGCATACAACCGCGGCAAGAAACAAGGCAAGGCAGCGAACACACAAACGCAGTGTTGATAGACAGAAACAAAAACGAGGAACAAAACAGATCAAAAAAAAAAAAGAAACAACATGCAGAATCTTGGGGAGGCACAGGTGCGGACAAAATCCGTAAGCATGGCTTGGACTGCATATATACGAGGTCAACGCGGCGGAGCAAACGCGGTAGGAAGTCATTTCCACATTTCTCTTTCTCTCTCCCAGCATTCCATTTTCTCATTGCTACTGTTGTTGTTGTTGTTGTTGTTGTTGTTTTTATTTGGTTTCTTCCTTTAATCCTCGTCTTCCCTCTGTGTTTGCCTGTCTACATATATACACAACGATAGCGTGCTGACAATGATGATGGTAACGATAACCCCAAGTAATCATCAGAACATCTCATTCCATTGGTGTGTCTTCGCGCGCCCCCTCCTGTACTGCACCCCACCGTTCAATACATGGTGCCTGTACTGTTGATGGCGGCACGTGTAGCGGCAGCGGTAGTAGCAGCAGCATCGGGCCCCGTATTCCTGCCGTCCCACGCAGACACCTTACCGGCACTTCTGCGTTCCGGTGACAACGTTGGCGGTTCCGCCACGTCTGCATAATTCCCTCTGCTATTTTTTGTGTTTGACTTGCTGTTGGGCGTGTTACGCGCGCTCTTGGACGCCTCTGACTTCTTGAAATCGTAGCGTAGCTGCTCCAGTGCGGCCAGGTGGTGGTCCACCCAGCCATCGTCGGCGAGGCGAAGGCGCGATGTGCGTGGCGTCGTGCCACCTTCGAGCTCCTGTCGTCTCTGCTGGCGCCCCTGTGAGCGTTGCCGGGATTCACTCGTCTGTCTGTTGTCGTGGGTGTTGCTGGAAAGATCGAGGGATAATGCAGTGGGCGCGTAGGTGTCTCCAAAAACGGGGCGTGCTGCACCAGGCGAACGGTTGCTTGTAGTGCCTGATCGCGTAGTGTTTCCGCCCTGACTTCGACCAAGTGGGGTATCGCGTGAATTATCCAGTGGCAATGAGTCATAGCTATCATCATGCATCCGTATCACTTGCACATTGCCGCCGTTATGTTCCTCCCTTGTTGGGCCACTACGTACATGCTGAGGAAGTGTTCCTGTCCCCTTGGACGTCAGTGATTGCATTGGTGGTGTTCCTACTGTCCCTGTCACTGGTATTGTCTTTGGTGGAGTCATCAGGGTTGCTGTTTTTGTTGTTGCTGATGTGTTTGCTTCAAGCGTCGGTGTTGCCTCCCTGGTGCCTTTGACGTAAAGTGAAGGGGTGTAACGCGGCGACTTACCCCTTGTCATGTTGCAGGGCGACTGACTTGCCACTGGGCCGGGGCTGTAGGCGGTGTTCATGTTCTTCGAATGGCGTGGGGAGATTGAGGCATGGAGCTGGGCTGGCGAATCGCCGCGTGATGCGGCCGACCGCAATGCCGCCACTTTGCTCCACGCGTTTACTCCTGGGCTGTTGCTCGACTGCGGCGGCGTTACCATTAGCGTCGGTCGCGGCGGTGTTTTGTAGCTGGTTGATAACATTAAAGACGAGGTGTCGTCCACAACGCGCATAAGCGGTGAGACGTCCGGCGATAGCAGCGCGGACGTCGTCTGTCCTCCAAAAGGCGTTCGCCTGCGGCCTCGTGTTGGAGTTAGGCGCTGTAGTGGCACCTCATTCGCAGCAGCAGCAGCAGCAGCAGAGGACCCGGCATTCGCCGACGGCACTCGCATATTTGCGCGTTCCTTCGCCAGGGAGGATGCGGTGGGAGCAGTAAGTGAGGCTAAGGCTGACGGCGAATCCACACGGCAGGTCGGCAGGCGACTCGAGGCTCCTGGCGAGGTGCTTTTCTGTCGGCATGTGCTGCTGACTCTGGCGTTTGTCGCCGCGGAGCCCACACCCTCGCGGGCCAACGATTGGCCCATTGCCCTCCAGTTTGAATGCAGCATCGATAAGGAGTAGGACGAGGCCACGGCACGCCGCGACGCACCCTCCGATGTAGCCCTTGGGCCGCCCTGGTGCGGTGTCGCATCCATTGTCCGCCTCCCTCTGCTTGGCAGCCCGGGAGAGGAGCGCGACATCGACGACCCCATCGCAGTATTAGAAGCCATAGTATTAGCAGCTGCAGAGGCCCCAGTGGCAGCAGCAGCAGCAGTAGTAGTACCAACAGAAGGCGAATCGCCCTTTGAGAAACGAAGGAGACCATAAAGTGGGCGCGTCCTATCCGCCGTCACGGCATCGGCACCTACTGAGCGCCGATTGTTTCTCTGAGACGGCTTCCTAGCCGGCGACGACCCTGAGGGCGTGGACGATCCTCCTCCTCCTCCTGCGTTCGCTGTTGCAGATGCCTGAGAACGGGGCGTCTGTAACAATGACCGCCGAAGGCGGTCAAAACCTTCCTTTCCCACTGGTAAACGATCTAACCGCTCGGCCGTCAACTCGTACAGCACGAGGAAGCGGTTCAGTTTCTCCTCCCTCTCACTGAGTATACGTTCCCGCTCCTGTAGCTTCGCCAGCTGGGCTTCCTCACGCCCCGTGGACGCAGGTGTTGGCAGGCGACGGCCTCTCTCGCTGTCGTTCGTCCCAGCCTCAGTGTAGCTGTTACTCCAGTTCTTGGCCCCGGTGTTATTGCAGCTGCTCTTGTCGAAGTTGGCCATGGCGAGTTGTGCATCGCGCTCCTGCACTATTACCCGGAGCAGCCAAAGATGACTGCGCAGTCGTATAGCCTGTAGCTGAGCGAAGCGGTGCGCCGGCGTCTCAAGCACTGCTGCTGCTGCTGCCGCTGCTGCTTCTGCACAGCCGGCCCCATCCACGGCGGCAATGCGCTCCGCAACGAACAGCAGCTCCGCACAGCTCATTTCTCCGTATGCCCCACGCCGCCGCTTCGCTGCCTCGACAACAGCAACAAGAATGCGACCAACCGCCGCAGTGTCTTTGCGCTGCGCGGTTGCCCTTACGTTGACACCAATGGCGGGGTCACGTGGTAACTCATCGAATAGCGAGCGCGGCAGTGTAGCGAGTGTGAAGAAGGCGTGATGCGCGGGTGTAGTGTCGGTGATGGCCCAGCGTCGCTCACCCGCAGCCGTCCACGCCGCGAGCTGCTGCCCAATCGGCACCGCCCGTGACTGTCCCCGCCAGTTTGTCTCACCCGCTGCTGGATTACTAATAGAGGCAGTGTTGCCGCTGATGTTGTCATCACTGGGGAGGGAGAAGCAAATCACATCCTCTGCCGACAGTTCCCCGCGGTAATGAAAGCCAGCTGCGTGTGCCACCGTCAGTGCCGACACCAACGAGCCAAGAAGACGCCATAGAATGTCGTCGCTCCAGCGTGAAAAGGGGTCCCCTCCACTACCTTCTTTTCCTCTTCCAGTCATTGTTGCTGTTGCGCCTCCACCACTGCTGCTGACAGAAGGGGGCAGACGGCCCTCGAGGTACGCCGCAAGTGTAAGACCGCACCTCGTACGATCGTCAACACGCTGTGCGTTGTGAGCGGGTGCAGCGGCCCCACAGACACCAACTGCAGTGGCGACAGCAGCAAACCGCTCCATCAGCGGCGCTCCTGCTGTCTTTGCATACGCAGCTCCAGCACTGCCCTCAGTTCTAACAACACCGCCATCATTACCATTACGCAATACATTTTGTTGAGGGAATCCGTAAAAAAAACAGTACGGCACAACGCGCACTTCTGACGCTGACGACGACGTGGCGTGGTTCCGTGCTGCATTTGCTCCGCCTCCTGGTTTAGTTGGTGTCTCCTCATCCGGCAGCGCCGAGGCCACCGAGACCAGCGACGGCAGCGAAAATGCAGCTGTGACGAACGCTGTTGGCTCCAGTGGGTAGACAATTTGGGAGAGGCAATCCACGTCAGAGGCGGCGCCGTCGGCAGCAACAGCAGTGCGCTTCCGCTGACGTGGCTGCTTCACCAGAAGCCACTCCGCGGCGCGCCGTAGCCGACGGCAGAGTCGGCAGTACGCCTCACACTGCATGAGGAATTTCGCGTGGAACGTCTCAGAGCCGTTGATGGGCATCACGCGCATGACACTCATGTCATTTCCCTCGTCGCCCTCGCAGGGTGGGCGTTGCGGGGAAGTCGTAGGCGACGCAAGTGCGTACATAAACGCCTCGTGGTCGGCATCGCTGCCGCTGCCCCGTGATTGTGGCGGCTGCGACCGTGTTGTTGGCTGGCGCAGAATGGATGCGGGGACATTGACTAAAAACGTGGACTCAGTCTCAAACGCATGAATAATTGACAGACGATTCATCACCAGGAAGCACACCAGCACGTATTTGCTTCACCCCGCTCAGCCACTTTGTGTCCTGCNAGGTCAATAAAAAGAAAGCAAAAAATATTGGCCTTGCTCCTTCTATGCAGTGGAATGTTCACACCTGTAGCGCACGCCCTCTATGAATGCGCAACGCACGCGTCTCGGCTCCGTTTTCTTGCTTGGCGCAAATGCCTTGATGCTTCTCTGTGTATATAAAATAGATGAGATGATTATTCCTCTCTCTCTCTCTCTCTCTCTCTCTCTGTGTGTGTGTGTGTATGTCTGTGCGTCTGTCAAGCTCGTTCGCTTTGTGTGAGAAGGTTTTTTCCCCTTCTTTTTCTTTCCCTTTTTTTTTCTGTCTTTCCTTCGTTCGTTCCTTCGTTCAACGTGGCGGCTGCACGAAGACGCTCACACAGACGCCAGTAGATGGACGCGACGCGCGAGAGGTGAGAGAGAGAGTGAAGGGTGGAGGCCGCTGCCCTCGTCGCCCCGCTAGCGATCAACAAGAATGCACCAGATCTTAGGCAGCAGCGTGTGGCCGACAAGAAGAAGAGGAAGAGGAAGAGAGGAGCAAAAGAAACAGATACATGTCTCTGGGTAGCGCAGTAAGCGTGGCACTGGTCACAGCATATAGGCCACAAACAGCAGAGCAAACAGCACCTCTGCTTTCTTTTTTTCTTGCTTTTAGGTTTCGGAAATAAATAAGAAACGCCGAGGCGAAAAGGAAACGGCACGTTGGCTTTCTTTCATCAACGATCCGGCTCCGGCAGAACCCCTACGGCTCTTCGCAGGCATACACCGAACGCCGATGAGATAAAAGGGACTTTTTTTCCTTCATCCGTTCTTACAAGAGACCCATCTTGTTGGCCGTCTCCAGCGCGTCGTGCGAGGCGGAGAGACGGATGTACGCCTTCTTGAGGCCGTCCGGCCGGATCAGCGTGTTGACCTTCACCGCCTTCACCTGGTACAGCTTGCGGATCGCCTTCTTGATCTCCGTCTTGTTCGCGTGCGAGTCCACGATGAAGGTCAGCGTGTTGTTCTCCTCGATCTTCTTCATCGCCTTGTCCGTGGTCATCGGGTACCGGATCACGCGGAACGCGTCCCACTTGTTGGGGATGGCGCTCACGTTGCTGCTGGGCCTCACCATCGCCGGCTTGCGGTACGTGTGTGGGCGACGGAACTGCGGGCGGGTGTACGCCTTGCGCTTCGTCACCTTCACCACCTTCGTCGCCTTTGCGGGGGCCGAGGCATTCTTCTTGGCGGCCTTCGTGGGCGCAGCAGCCTTCTTCGCAGGAGCAGCAGCAGCCTTGGCGGGCATCGTTGTGGTCGTCGTGTGAAAGAAAAGCCTGTGTTATAAATGCGTGTGTGAGGGAGAGTGTAAATGGAAGGAACAGTGAAGGTAGAGCAAAGAGGAGAGAGGGAAATAAACAAGGGGGGTGGGAGGCATATATATATATATATATATGCAGCCACCTCCCACAGCAAACCAAACGCCTCCTGCAAGAATGGAGAGGGGCATTCATTCAAGTGTAGTTTTGTTTTATATATTTCTGTTTTTTTTTTCTTATGTGCTCTTCATTAAGCGATGGGGAAGTCTTTTTCCTTCATCCGTTCTTACAAGAGACCCATCTTGTTGGCCGTCTCCAGCGCGTCGTGCGAGGCGGAGAGACGGATGTACGCCTTCTTGAGGCCGTCCGGCCGGATCAGCGTGTTGACCTTCACCGCCTTCACCTGGTACAGCTTGCGGATTGCCTTCTTGATCTCCGTCTTGTTCGCGTGCGAGTCCACGATGAAGGTCAGCGTGTTGTTCTCCTCGATCTTCTTCATCGCCTTGTCCGTGGTCATCGGGTACCGGATCACGCGGAACGCGTCCCACTTGTTGGGGATGGCGCTCACGTTGCTGCTGGGCCTCACCATCGCCGGCTTGCGGTACGTGTGTGGGCGACGGAACTGCGGGCGCGTGTACGCCTTGCGCTTCGTCACCTTCACCACCTTCGTCGCCTTTGCGGGGGCCGAGGCATTCTTCTTGGCGGCCTTCGTGGGCGCAGCAGTCTTCTTCGCAGGAGCAGCAGCAGCCTTGGCGGGCATCGTTGTTGTTGTTGCTGTTAGCTGTTGAAAATGTGACGTTGTGGTTAGTGGTGAAAAGGGGGGGGGGGAAATAATTGCGGGTGAGAGGGTCCAGGCTGCTGTGAAGGCATCGTGTGAGCAAAACAGTACTGTGACAATACGGCACGGCAGTGCTTGTGGCCGCGCAGGAGTCCTAGACACCCGTCCTCGGCGCCCTCCCTCGGGAGCACAGAGGCACACAGATGCACGCATAGAAGTGTACCTGGGGCTTGGGAGAAAAAGGTCCCTCAGGCCATTGCTCTGTTGACGACAAAAAAAAAAAAAAAAACAGTGGCTTGTTATCGTGTTTCCACCTCATTATCTAGCAATGTATGCATCTTCTTTTCCCCGTCCCCCTCCCTTAGTTCTTTCCTCTCATTTATACTCCAACTGTTTTCTGATCTATGGGTCTTGTAATGGCGTCGGTCGCCACTCTTTACGCGCTTGGCGCCGTGGTGCCACCATTCTTCACCTCTTCGGTTGACTTGAGCCAATGGCTGATGTTCAGTTGTTTCTCCTTGGGCGTGCCAAAGGCATCAAACACGCGGTGCATGATTGCCTCCCACGTTTCCTGGTAGCAGCCCTCGCTCAGCACATCCTCCACCGAGTACGGCGCAATGCACTCATGCAGCAACTCGTTGTCCTCGACACCGCCACGGACCTTTACATACGTGCCATCCTTGTAGCCCTTCATCTGGCGAATGCTGTTCAGCGTGTGCTTCGCCACGTAGTACGCGACGAGGTTGAAGCCGAGGTCTTCCGCCGCCTTTATGATGGCCTCCGTGATGAGGTCGAAGCGGTGAGCATTCGACAGCTGGATGATGTTACGGAAGCTTGCCACCGCATTGTCAGTGTTGGTGAGCGGGAAGAACATAACACCCTGCAGTGCACCCTCTGTTGCGGTTTCTGCGTCTGCTGCTGTTGGTGGGCAGCAGAGGCGACACAACTCCTTCGGCGACCTGTTGTCCACCTCGTTGCGCAGCCGCGCCTCGCTGGAGCGCATCTGCATCTCCCCCGAGAGGGAGAAGTGCAAAATGTCGGTGAGCTCAATCTTCACATTCTGCAGGTCCGGCTGAGCCTTGACATTCTTCCACCACTTCCACGGGTACGAGTCCAACAGCTCCGCACTCTCCATCGTGATGGCGAGCGCCCAGTCGTCTGGGCGACGCACCTGCCGCCAGTTCGCGTCGACCATCGCGTTAAGGCCGTCCTGCAGCTCTGCAAGGGAGGAGAGAATGGTGGGCGACAGACAGACGCTACGCAGCCGCTTCATCGCACCGACTGCAACTTGTGTGGTACTGTAGTTTGATGTCTTCATAGTGTTGTGTATGGGTGTATTGTGTTGAATACATGTGGGAAGAGGAAGGGCGGGGAAGAGAATTGCATCAACTGTGCCCTGCACGGCGCAAAGAGTGAGCGAATGATGCAGACGCCCCAAACAGGAGTCACATCGCAAAGTGCTCATACAAGCCCAACGGACCGTGTCCACTGTACGCTTTCTGCCGTTGTTGTTGTTGTTGTTTTGACTCTCTACACTGCACGTGAAGCACGCCTCTGCTCCGACGCTTTTTTTTTCTTTTCACTTCTTCTTCCCTTCCTGCTGACTGCTGCTGCTGTTGTTGTTAGCCGAACCCTTCTCACCGTTGTTCCGCCACTCTCAGAGCAACGGCGCCACGTAATGCAGGAGCATGGCGCGCACCTGTAACAGCGTCACAGGGCCCACGCCTGATGACCCGGTTTTCTCCGCCGCTGTTGCTCGTTTTGTGGAGCTCCGCCCTCTTGTGCGACTCGGGCTGCCGCCGCTGCTGCTGCTGCTGCTGGTAGACCCATCGTCTTCTTCCTCGTCTTCATCCTCCTCATCTTCATCAGTGTCGCTCAGCCCCACTTTCCCAGCGAAGTCGGCCAAATTGACAGCGCCCATCACCTTCTCCACGCGTTCCCGAGTAACGTCGGAGATAATTGCCGGCATCGCCCTCGGCTCCTGCAGAGAGGCGAAGAAGGAATCAATCAGGTCCAGCAGCAACATGCTGGGGTCGCCAATACCGGCACCACTGCTGTTGCTGCTGTTAGAGTTCACTGCAGCTGCTGGGCTCTTGGATGTGGCGGATAGAGTCTTGTCGCTCGCCGCCCTCTGCTGCTGCTGTTGTTGGTGTTTGCCGCTGCTGCTGTTGCTGCCTTGGCTTCTCCACGCACCCAATCCCTTCGCCGCCGATGCCGCGGTCGACGATGCGGCGTTCAAAGGGAATGCCAAACCCTCCGCGTCAAAGTCGGGCTTTTGCTGCTGCTGTTGCTGTTGTGCCTCGCCAGTCGTCGAAGCACAAGTTAACCACTGCAGAATCACCATGGCCGGTGCGCCATCAACGTTGCCATTTCGGTTCGTCATCGCCGGTCGCCCCGACGCCGTTTTCGTCTTCGCGCTGCCGACGAAGAGCGGTGACCACATGTGCACAAACAACGCAAAGAAAAAGACCTGCTCTCTCAGAATGCTCTCCGACTGGCGCCACTTCTCCAGGGGTAGCCCATACACCGCGTCCCACGTCTCGGCGCGGCACAAGACATCACGGAGCAGACGCACTATGATGAACTGCAGGAGCGCCACGGCACTCGTGTAATTCCCGCCGCCCGTCGCCAGCACCGCGATGACAGACTCCTCCTGCGGCGACGCGCAGTCACGCAGTGGGAACGGCGTCGCAGCAGGAGCTGAAGGAATGGGGCTCGTCGGATGTGAAGAAGACCACCGCTCATTCAAAACGTGACTCGGCACAAGGAGGCGCTCCTGGAAAAAGGCCAGCGCATTGAGTGAGATCTGCGCACACCAGTGAAAGAGGAACAGCTCGTCGTTGCGGTCAAAGGTGCCACCAATGGGGAACTGTGGGTAGTTGCCGAGCACGCTGCGCAGGCACCACACCGGTGACGGCGGCGGCGGCGACGGCGCACACAGCAGCGCGGCCGCAGGTGCGCCGGCGGGGTGGGCAATGAATCGACTGCGCACAATATCAAACAGAAACGGCACCATGCGCATTTCGTTGACTTCGCCTGCCCGCAGCAGTTGCGCGGCAGCGTCACGCAAGCCCTTCGCACTCGCCACGTAACTTGCCGCAGACGATGCCGCTGTGGCAGCGGAAGTGGTCCCATTCACTTTTGCGGTGCTCATGCTCGCTGCACTCGGTGCCGTTGCTGTTGCCGCTGCTGCTGGCGGTGGCGGTGGCGTGGTGATCGAGTCGCCTTCGCAGCAGAGGAGCGCGGCGTCGCCAACGAGGAGGTCGCGTGCGGCCTCAGCATTCTGCGTAACGGCCAGCGTGGCGGCCATCCACCCCTGCACGACGCGCGGCAACACACGACGCAGCTCCTCGAGATACTGCACGCGGAACGCCAGCGCTGGGTCGCGCAGCATCTGCGACAGCGCGCCGCCGCGCGAGAGAAACGCTACCCACACGGACGCACTCAGCACGTCGGCGAGCAGCAGCTGCAGCGCGTTTAGCACCCACCGCGGTGAGGGGGAAACCGACGACGTTCCGTCACTACTAGCGCGGAGAAACTGGCGGTGCATGTTGTTGAATTCCGCGGAACGCAGGAACAACACCAGCGCCTGACGCTGCCGAAGTGCGGTGCGCAGGAAGGCGAGGAAGAGGCGCTGCAGCGTCACATCGAGCGACTCCGTCACAACGGCGTTGGAGAGGAGGAACGAGACGCACTCCACTTGGTTCTCCCGCAGCTCAGCCGCCGCCTGCTGCTGCTCTGCGTGTTCGAGTGGCAATGCATCGTGCCCTGTCATGGCCGCGACGAAGCGGATCACAGAGGAGAGAAGAAGGCCGTGGACACGCGTGCAACCGTTGGCATAGCGCAGAAAGGTGTATTGCTCGGGCTGCAGCAGCAATGGCGGTGGGGATGCCACCACCGTGTTCTTGTTGCTGTTACTGTTGCTGCTGGTGGTGTTGGTGTTAGTGTTGTTCGGCGGGGTGAAGAGGCGCGAGGAGGCCGGCGCGAGGAGGAGCTCCAGCAGCAGCGCATACGAAGTACGGGGTAGGCGCTTGAGCCGCTCCTGAAGCTCGCGGCAGCCACGATTGTTCTTCCGCGCCACTGCGTCGCACATCCCCGCGCTGTATGCGGCGTCGCGGCCTTCGTACATGTGACACACGTCGCGGATGAGATGTTCAACCATCGCCCTTCCGGTGCTCTCAAGGCGGCGGTCGGTGCAGCCGCAGAAGTCCGCCTGCAGGTACACGAGGCTTGGTGTCAGCAGCCGAAGCAGGTGCGTGTCGCAGCCCGCGTAGCCAAACTCGTCCATGCGCCGCAGTGTGCGTATCGCGTCGGCTGCCATCACGACGGCTCGGCGGAACCGCGACGGGTCGCCGCCCTCGGCACCGGTGCCGTAACTCAACGCGCGGGCCTCCAGCACCTCGTGCGCGAGTTTGTCGATGCGGTCGTGCACCCAAAGGACAGCCGCCGAGCTCGGCGGTATCTTCAACGCCGCGGACTGACCCTTGCCGCTACCACCGTCACTCTCGCCTTTGTTGTTGTTGTTGTTGTTGCCGCCACGCGGTGTCCTCTCGGCAATCTTGGTCCTCTTTGTCTCCCCCTCCGCTTCTTCCGTCGGCCCTGCCGCGTCACCCCCAGCAGAAGCAGCAGCAACGACGGTGGAACGCCACAAGTTTTGCTGCCGCTTCAGCACCTCCTGCACTGCACTGACGAGAAAGTCGCTGGCGATGAGTGCGCCGCTGTGCGGGTCTATGCGCAGTTGCAGTTTATCCATCTCCGAATCCACCCACACGGCATGGAGACGAAAGAACGTCCGCGACCCGCTGCTCACCCTGCCAAAGCGCAACAGCAGCTGGATGAGCGGGATGTGCAGACTCTCGCTGTACATCAGCGGCATTGGCACACGATGCAGGTGCGCCCTAATGGCACGCACCAGCACCTCCTCCAGTGTGAGCAGCAACGGCAGGCAGCCCTTTGCTGTCGCCTCGGCCTCCATGCCGCGCAGCAGCTCCGCCGCCTCAAGGAAGCGCCTCTCCGCAATCACCTGAAGCACCTCCTCCCTTAGCACCTCCGCAAAGACGGTGATGTCCTGCGAGGTAGGCATTCCACGGCTCTGCTCGGCCTCCAACCACGCCAGCTGGTGGCGCTGCAACGAGGCCGTCACGCCGCTGCTGCTTCTGCTGCCACCGCCTCTCAGTGTCGTTTCGCGCCACAATCGCACCGACGGCGTGTTCAACGAGCGCGTGGTAGCCAGGAGCTGTACACCATCGCTGTTGGTGGTTTGGGCAACAACGTCATCCGCAGAGCCCTGCCGCCGCACCAAACGTGTCGCGATGAGACTCGGACGCGAGCGTCCTTTAAGGGCACCTCCACTAGCAGCGGCAGGGTCCCTACCGCCGCTGGCACTGCCCAGCAGTGATAAGCCGAACGTTGACGTGTTCACGCCACCGGCACCACCACTGCTGCTAATGGCGCTGTTACCGTCGCCGTACGTGCTGAACTTGCTAATGGCAGAGATTGCCGCCTTGGTTCCCTGGACGCGCCCCTTCAGAGTTTCCACCAGCTGACTCGCACGGCTTACATCACGGAAGAGCTGCAGGAAGTCCGTGGCGTGAGCGAAAACGGCGGCGTGCAGGCGTCGCGTCGCGATGTTGTGGTCTTCCGAGAGCTCCTGGTCCAGTTTGAGGAAGTTCGACCTGGTCTCGCCAATCAGCTCCGCCAGGAGATCGTCCTTGTCAAACGGCGCAGCAGCAGCGGAGGTGTCAGCATAGCGCGCCTTGATCAAACCCTCACGCTCCTCCACCCGCTCCTCCGCCTTTTGTCGCTGCTCTGAGCGGTGGAGCATCTTCTCCAGCAGCCGCGCCGCATCTGTTGCGAAGGCAGAAGTGCGGCTGGGGCCGCCGCCAGCAGCAGGAGCGCCACCAGAGCCACTAGTGTTGTGCTCACTGCCGCCTTGCTCCGCGGCCGCGTTAGCTTGACGGCGACGCGCGCGGGCAGCACGCACTTCAGGTCTGCGTGGGCGCATTTATCCAAGCAACCGACTCTGCGGCTGTCGCCGCTCAGCAAGAGGAAGATAATGAAAATGAAAGATCGCTTTCCTGTACTTTGCTTGGATCCGAATCAACCTGCGTGCGTGAGAGTACGCCAACTCCTCCTCCTCCTCCTCTCTAAAAGCAAAGGAAAAGAAAGAAGCAAGATAAAGGGACAGAAACGACCAAGAGAAGAGGAAATGATTCGTGCTACTCCCCCCCTCCATCTCTCTCTCTCTCTCTCTCGTTCAGACATTCGGCCCCAGCATTCAGCACCCAAGCACACACAGACGCGTGCATCACATATGGCACCGCCAAGGCTGCAGATCTGGACTGGCATCTATTCTACTCTGAATCCTCAGCGTCGCTCGCGTCATCATCGTCTCCACTGCTACTGCTGCTGCTGCTGCTAGAAGGATTCTCGTACCGTTCCGGGTGCTCCTCCACCTCATCGCTGCGGAAACACAACAGGCAGTGCAAATTGCCGCCACCTGTCTTCTTCTTTTCACTGCTAGTCGTCGCCGCCGCCGCCGCCACAGCCGTGTCAGTGGCCTCGCTCGTTGCAAACGGCTCTTCCAAGAGAGTCGTTGGCATTTGCGGCGACAGTGAGACGGTCGCGTCCACTTTCTCCACCCCCTGCTGCTGCTGCTGCTGCTGACACTGCTTCTGTGGTTGCTCTTCCTGTCGCCGTATATCCTCCTCACTGAGGTTATTGTTGTTGTTCTTGTCGGCATTCCTCTTCTTCTTGGGGGCGCGTGTCTGGATGCCCAACTCCGGGCGGCGTATGTTGTAGAATTGCGGGGAGCGGCACATGAGGTCCTTCACGATCTCGCTCCAGCGCCGCGCGTACATCGCGTCGTGGCGGCCGCGACTCACCTCCCCAATGAAGACGGTCGTCTCGCTGTCCTCCTCAGGCACGTCCTTCGCGTAGAAGTCCGTCTGCGCGCGCGGGATCTCCTGGTACCCGATGGGCACCATGTAGTGGTTGTGGCAGTGGTACACCACGGCCGCATGCGGGTCGCGCAGCACACGCTTCAGCTCCTGCAACGCCTCCTCCGCGCTGCTGCTGGTGCGGCCGCGGCCCTGCGGTTTGTACAGCACGTACGCCCTGCCGCTCACGCCGAAGTGACGGTTGATGGCGTGGAACCAGCGGAAGAGCGTGCGGTTGCCGGTAAACGGACCCCACGCGATCTCGTCAAAGGGCGGCGCGAAGCCGAGGATCGACATGATCTCCTCCTGCGCGACAGGTGGGCGGTTGGCGCCGACAGCGGCCTCGCCGATGCGGGTGTAGAGGTAGTTCCACACCGACGTGAGCGAGGAGACGCCGCAGCTGCGTGGGTACTGCTTCGTCACCGCCAGCAGCCGCGGCAGCCGCAGGCACATTCGATGCTCGAGGTCTGCGCGTGTCGTCGCGAGGCCAGTGGGGACGAGGCTGCTGACGTCCGCCAGGCCGTCCACACAGACGACTGGCAGGTGGCGGTTACCCTCGCTGTCTACCGCCTCCCGCTGCCCCTCGCCGACGCCCCCGCACAGCTGCTGCCGCAGACGGCTGGCGATGACGGCGTCGCGCTCCTTCTTAGTGATCTTGCGCCGCATCTTCGGCAACGTGAAGTCGATGCCCCATGCCTCGCCGCCCTTGGGGGGCGCCCGCACGGCGTCAGTGGGTGAGGCAGTCGGACTGGGAGTCGGCTCCATGCGTCCACCCTTCGCCTAGCCCTCAAGACGCTGGTGGCTCGCTGGGAAGAGACACCGCGTGTGCGTAGGTATGTGTACGACTGTACCTATAAATGTAAGTATATATATATATATATATATTTATTTATGCTTTTACTTACTTATGCGTGTCTGGGGGCGTGGTCGCCGCCGCGGCTCCTTCACCCATGGAGGCAAATGGAAGAGACAAGCACCCGCGTGATCACGACGAAACGGCAGGAGGAGCGCGCCAGTCCTCGCAGCACCCCACACACCCTCAGCTGAGGGTCCCGAGCAGGCGAGCGTCAGAGCGGGGAAAAATAAGTAATGGTATACCTGTCAATGGTGTGTAAGAGTTATAGGGAGGAAGGGAGCCCCCACTGGAAGGACATGCAGCGGCAACTCATACATGTTTCCCCGCGTGTTGCGCGTTGCTGCTGGTGCCGCTGCTGCAACGCCGAGGCGTAACTCAGCGCGCACACCACTCCCGCATGCAAATAAGTCCCTCACCACAGCCGTTCACTTGACACGAGAGCAGTGGCCCTCTCCCTCAGAAGCACTAACTCCCACACACACGCGCGTTCTCCCTCTCTCTATCTCTCCGTCTCTGTGTGTTTTTCTCTCGTTCTTGCATTCTCGTCCTCTTTGCTCTTGATTGCCCACCGCCCAGCCCCGTTGCCATAATTGGAGGTTCGGGTTTTATTGCCTCCCTCCCGTCATGCCCCGCCTCTCTCTCTCCCCCCACGTGAATCCCCATCAACATCACCACTACAGTAACAATTCTCACGGTCCATCATCGAGCTGGTCGCTTTTCCATCTCTCGGAGAAGTCCATTGTATATCTCCTTCGCTCATTCTTTTGCTTTTTTTTTTTACTTCTCAATGGTGTTATTGCCTGATACAACGTCCGCATCATACCCCACGGTCCTCACTACTACGCTCGTTTCCTTACAATGGGCAGTTTGTCGCCTTCACCGACGGTGGGCGGTCCAGCTCCATGTCTCGCATTAGCGCCTCGTAGTCCTCCACATTCATTGTTGCACGCCAGTACGCCTTGTGCACCGACTGACGGAAAAGTGCGTACCTGTGATCGCACCAGTACAGCGTCCGCAGTTTCCACACATCTGGGGTCCAGATGAGAACGATGCCGGCGGCGCAGACGCAGGGAACCCACCAGCGCTGAATGAGCGGCACCCACCCAGGGTGTCGCTGCTTGAAGATCCAGGTGTTCATCTTTTGCTGCTTCTGGCCACTTGTCATTCCCGCCGTCGCTGCGGTCATGCGTTCCAGACGCACATGTTCCTTCATGGCACCAGCAGCAGCACCAGCAGCTGCAGTACCGGTTGCAGCACCGCCAAGCTCGTTGTGGCTGCATTGTGTCTGGCTCTCCATCTGGTCAGCCGAAGCGGCCCACCGCTTGCCGAAGTACGGCACCCTCGTCCACCAGCTGCGCGCGTAGGCCTCCATCGCCTGCGCGTTGGCTATGTCGTACGCCATAATTTCTTGCTGGATCTCGCCCAGGAACGCCTCTGCCGCCTGCAGCGAGGCGGCGTCGCTACTGCCAGGCGCCGGGCCGTCCTTTGGGAGGCCGAGGATGAAGTTGCGCGTTGCCTCACCGGCCGCAGACTCGAGTCCCACGCCCGTAGCAGCACTAGTGCCGCCGCTGCTGCTGCCGCTGCTGCTTCGGCTCGCCATTGCTTGTGCTGAGAAGTAACACAACGCAACTAATACAANACTAGTGCCGCCGCTGCTGCTGCCGCTGCTGCTTCGGCTCGCCATTGCTTGTGCTGAGAAGTAACACAACGCAACTAATACAATTGATGTGGCGCAAGGCCAGCAAACACAGACACACCGACAGACACTTCTGTCGGACAAGAACAGAGGAAGGGGGGAAAGAAGAGATGCCGGTGCGGCGACGGTGGAGCTGGCTGTGCCATTCCACGCGGAGGGTCGAGAGAGAGAGAGAGCGTGAGAATAAAAACAAAAGAGGACTCGCTCTTTGTTGGCGACACGCAGGGATAGGCTGAGAAGCATAAATAAGAAAGGATCAACTGTACAATCGCTGTTGTATTGTGTGTTTTGTAACTGTTTTTTTTT